ATATATATAAAAGGATTGGTCAGATACTATTTTACGAGTCTCCAACCACCCCTAATGTGGCTAAAAAATTTGAGTATCATCTCCTTAAGGCCAATTGTGTCAGAGGGGATTCAAACCCCCGATCTGAGGGGTCTTATACCGTAGATGCCAACCAACAGAAGATTTATCATCAATTAAAATTATTAATTAGAAATATAATGAAAATATATTAAATTATATTTAAATAATGTTTGATTATAAATAATAAGATTTAAATTCTGCCCCAACCCTTAACAACTCACGACTGCGTGACTAAGGTTGTAAAAACAACACTTTGTCACGAACAACTCGTGTTCGGCTTGTTAGTTTGAAAAACACGAACATATCTTTTTTTGTTTGAAATATAAATGAGCCGAGCACAAGCACTAATATTTTTTGACTAGCCAAACACGAGCTGAGCCTAAGCTCGCTTATGTTCGGCTCGTTTACACCCCTATTTCCTGGGTTGTAAGTTTAAGTGAGTTAGGAGAGTGTTGCTCCTCAGTGGGAATGTAACCCATAAATCTCATTTTCTTAGATAAAGCGTGAGCTCCCTATCCTGCACCAGTAGACCTCACCTTAGTACTGGTTTTGAGACAGTTTTATTGGATTTGCCATAAGATAAGTCCTCTCCTTGAATGTTTTACTTAATATAAGTCCTAACAATTTAAAAAAAATTGTTCAAATAACACTAAATTTCTTGTCAGTTCTCAAAACGTAAAACCCAATCATAAGAAAGATTGGAGTAATTATCAGGCTTCCTAGCAACACCAACACTCCCTGCTGCTCTTATGCTTATGCTGAACTATTCTTAGATTGAGTCATTCCTGATTCAAACTCCAAATAATAATCATGAAATCTACCATTATAATTTATAGAAACGTCAATCATTTTTTTAATCAAGAGTTTTCTTAAGAAGTATCATTTTATGTGATATAACTAAATAGGATGCTTGCCTCTTTAGGGATGTTAGACACAATAATTAAAACAAATTTTATCATTTTAGGGCATGGAAAAGACATTTGGTTTGTAATCCCAAAAATAGTAACTAATTACTTCGATATTACATATATTATAGGGTAGTGGTGGAAATTATTTTTTATTTATTCGTACTTGCCCACCATAAATCTCGAAAGATTTATATCTAAATGATCATATATGAAATTGCTTTCGTTCATTTCTCATTTTTATTTTTAAAAAAGTCGTGAGTTTGTCCATCATATATACTTCATTTTTTTGAATAAATCTTTCATCAAGATCATGTGAGTGATTAGGAGAAGTAAAAACACGAAAAACAGGACATACGACAAAAAAATAGATAAACAAGAGAAAGAACGTGAAAAACTTTCGTGCAACAAACCTCGCTAGAATATATGAAGTGTATATGCCCAAACAAAATGGGACTAAAATATCTTATTTGGTTCGCATTCTAGAGTAAAATAAATATAGGCACTCTACCGTCTTTAGTGGAGGCCACATCTAGATCCTCTCCTTTCACTTCTTTTGAAAATAAGAACTAGGGCTTAGAGAGGACACATCCAACTTCTTCCACCATATCATTTCTTTTATAATCTCCCCTAGGTCGTATTAGCTCACGAACAATACAATACTTAATGTCTCCTAAAATAGTTCAACATTAATGTTGAACCATTTTCAACTGTAACGTTGAAATGTGCTGAGAAGGACCAAAATAAAAGCTATCCCACAAAAAATTTTGAAAAAAATCTAGGGTTCACAAACTAGAATAAAGCCACAAATGTGAGGAGGTGAAACATTTAGAGGATAACAAATATATTATTCTCAAAGTAAATGTGGGGAAGTAATTAAATAGAATTTTCAACTGTCCAACTTCCATAAGATGCCGCCAAAATTATACTTTTCAAAGTCTCAATAACTCGAAGAAAATAAAGTGTGCGGTGCTAATGAAGATAGTATGGAGGAGGTGATATTGAGCGTCGCAAAAATAAACTAAGATGTGCACAAACATAGCTTGTAAGGAATAACATGTAATAGGAATGCACATATTTTTTCCAAAAGAATAAATGGACATTTACATAAATATTAAAAAATACTCATATCTACATATCAAGTGTATAGACTTCAATTTTTATGTCTATATCACTCAAATCTTTCATATTGAATAAAAAATATAATTATTTTTACTTTTTAAAACTGAAATACTTTTTTATCCATAATTAAAGTGGCATATATATATATATATATATATATAAATAAAAATTAATATTTAGATGCTAGATATGTAAATATATTAAAATTCAGGGACATGCACGTAAATCTTCCAAATTATACGCCATAAAAATCCAGTCCATAGAAAAAAAAGGAAGTCAAAGTCATTGTTTCTAATATTAACCAATCAAAATAAACCACGTATATTGCGGTCCCCCGGTCAACCAAAGCCATCCATCCCATCCGTCAAAATAACATTACAACCAACAAGCCAACGGCTGGATCGCTTACCACTTCATCGATCCAGCCCTACGACTCTGCTCCAATCAAATCACTCTCCTCGTTGTATAAAAGAAAAACCGATCCTTTTCTCCTGCATTCAAGCGGACACCGTCGCGTTGTTTTTTTCCTTTTTCTCGCATAATATTTCACCAATGGCACCGAAGGCGGAGAAGAAGCCAGCCGAGAAGAAGCTCGCCGCCGACAAATCGGCGGAGGAGAAAGAGAAGAAAATCGAAGCAGAGAAAGCTCCGGCAGTGAAGAAACCGAATGCTGAGAAGCGTCTTCCTTCTAACCATGCTGCCTCCGGCGAGAAGAAGAGGAAGAAGGCGAAGAAAGGCTCCGAAACCTATAAAATTTACATCTTCAAAGTGCTGAAGCAAGTCCACCCCGATATTGGCATCTCGAGCAAGGCGATGGGCATCATGAACTCGTTCATTAATGATATTTTTGAGAAGCTCGCTCAGGAGTCATCTCGCCTTGCTCGTTACAATAAAAAGCCGACGATTACTTCGCGGGAGATTCAGACTTCGGTTCGCCTCGTGTTGCCGGGAGAGCTTGCTAAGCACGCGGTTTCTGAGGGCACGAAGGCGGTCACTAAATTCACTAGCTCTTGAGGATAAGGATTCTACAGGGGAATGGGAGTAATGGTTGGTTATGAATCTTATTGTAATATGCATATTTATATATGATTTTTAGAGGTGGATTCGATTCTTATATAATTGTTTTTGTTTTGAAAAAAAAAAAAAAACAGGCTTTGGCTTTATTATTCAATGGTTCGCGCTTTTTATAATTTGAAGGAGTTCACTTTATTTTTTTGATTATAGAGAAAATATATATATATATTAGTAAGGTCTAAACTGTTGTTGATTTGGGTTATTTGTGAATTTATTAAAATTAAGGTTCGTGCTTGTTTCATTTCATTTGGATTAGACAGACTTTTAGATAGCTTGACATTATTTAGACCAAGCACTGTGGTTTGTACTATAATCCATTGCAGGTAAAAGATTCGAATGATATAGCAAAAATGTAGACGAATATCTTTGTTCAAATGGTCTAGTTGAAGGTGTTTGTTGGATGTTCAGGAATCTTATATTTTTTTTTAAGTACAATATCAAATTCGAGACCGATGTGTAGTCATAGATATCTTTTTTAATTTCATGGACAGAATTAATTATGATATTCATGCTGCAGCATTCTTATTTCTGAAAAAAATATGCAAATCTGCATTTAGAAAATTGTTTTTTTTTGGGTGTGAAAGAACAAGTTAAGTGATTTATTTGTATCCAAAGGAAATTGATTTAATAATTTCCTTCACAATACTGCCATGTTGAGGTGTAACAGAAAAAAAAAAAATGCTATTTTTTTCTAGGTCATTGCTTCTTTATAAGCTCAAAACTTGTGCTCTATTTATGCGCTTGCATTCACTGCACGGCACAACTTTGCATGATTTGTTATGGAGAAGTAGTTTCATAGTTATTGTTTATATTCATGATTCTTATTTTGCTGATGTCCTTTGTTGATACTTGACCTATTACTACAAATCAAGTTTGACCATATATTATTCCAGCAGTAGAAAGTCCACAATAATTTTGGGTGTATTGTTGTGTAGAAAAAAATGCCGAAGCGTAGAGATTCACATAGCTATAATCAAACTAAAAAGATTTGTGGTTCAATGTTAAATTGATTTGCCTATGTACATGAGGAGAGTCTTTAGCATTGAATCAGAAAGAAAAAATTGGATTATAACTAAACACTTCTCACCACACGTCTTTCACAAATATTATGTTTTTTTAATAGAGGAGGCATACAACTTATAAGGAAAGAAATAAAAAAAGGTAACAAATCAATTATAATAAACCCATTAAGAACAACAATCTCTATATGATCTCTTACTTTTAGATAAGTAAAAGATGATTAAATGAGCTCCAAACTCTAAATAAGTTGCACAAGGATGATTGTGTACATATTTTTCTCCCGTAGGGATCAAGTCTAGCGCAGTTCTTCAAAATGTTCAATTGGGTAATCAATCTTGTGCTTGGATGTTCACCAAACTCGTGCAATAGGTGAACTTTTGGATTCTCCTTTGTATTTATCTTTTTCAACTGCAATCATATAACTTCATTCATCGCCTCCGTGATTGCAATGTACTCAGCCTTTGTGAATAATTGAAGAACTAGCCTCTAGGTGATTGTATTCTTGCCAATGTCAATAAATAATAAGTTGTAGATCTTTGCTCATCCATAGTACATGTAAAGTCTGAGTCAGTGTAGCCTACACATATGCATCGAATAATTGCCTCTTTAACACCAAACCTACATCATTTATATCTTTTAGATACCTCAGAATACTCTTCAAAGTTTGTCAATGGCTTTTTCTTAGATCATGCATAAACCTGCTCACAACACCAACTGCTTGGGTAATATCTGGTCTAATACAAACCATGACATACATTAAACTACTCACCGCACTAGCATAAGAAATTGATCGCATATCTTTCATCTCTTGATCATCTTTAAGTTATTGATTTAAACTCAATTAAAAGTGAGATGCAATGAATATACTTACTGCCTTGCTCGTTTCATAAATCTCAATTTTTTTTAGCACCTTCTAAACATAAGTTTCTTTCGAGAGCCAAACCTTTCCAGCTGCCTTGTCCTTGAGAATTTTCATGCCAAGAATTTTGCGAGGTTCATCCATCCCTTTCATTTCGAAATATTTGAACAATTGATTCTTCATCTTATCAACCTCAATTTGATTAGTAAATGCACTCAACATTACATCACATATAAAAGAAAGTAAATGAACACGTCGTTGGCCAACTTCTTAAAATATGTACAAGAATCTTATGAGCTCCTCATGTATTCCTGTCCCCTCATAAACTAATCAAAATTTTTATCATTGTCGTGGTGATTGCTACAACTCATACAAACACTTGTCCAATTTGCAAACCAATTCTCTTGATTCTCTATACTGAGGCAATTGCAACATATAGATCACCACTTGCAACTCTCTGTGTCGAAATGTGATCTTCATATCGAGTTGCGCCAAGATGAGAGTGTATTGTCTTCTTAGTGCTAAGAGAACATAAATTGAATGATGCTTGTCTATTGGGGAGACAACTTTGTTATAATCAATCTCTTCTTGTAGTGCAAAACCTTTTGCTACTAATCCATTGCAGCTCTCCAAAGATCATTGTCTGAGCTGTCCACCATTTATTTGTAGGCTGAAAGTGCAAATGCAATGTGTTCTCTTAACCAAGCTTGTTTTCAAACATTCTGGCCCCTGATTCTGCTCCCAACAATAGATTACTGAGGAGGAATCTCATCATCATGTTGTTCCACCTCTTGAGCACTATCAAAATATATCTCACGAGCTGCAGCTGAATCAGATATTCAAGTCAGAGTGGACGAACTCTGTGGAATAAATGAAGTTGCATCAAAATCCAACTTCAGCTGCATATCTATGATTCCATTAGAACTCTTAACCTATTTTGACTCCAATTTTTTTTAATGAGCTTGCTTCATCGAATGAAACATCCATGCTAATGACAACCTTTTTTTCTAATTGGTCATACAACTTGAAGTTCTTAACTCCATGCATGAAATCAATGAAGATCAACTTCTTTTACTCGTGGTTTCAGTTTATTATTTATCATGTGATAGTAAGTTGGACAACCAAACATTTTCATGTGCTCATAATCTCTAGCAGGATACCCCGACCACATCTCCTTTAAGATTTTCCCAATAGCTGCAGAAGGCAGACTATTCACTAAATGATAGGAACATTCTATGACATCGACCCGATAGACTCTATCCAACCCAACATTGGATAACATACACTGAACTTTCTCCACCAAAGTTTGATTCATCCTTTTTGCCACCTCGTTCTGTTGTGGCGTCTCTCGAACAGTAAATTGTCGCTTTATCCTAGCTCTCTAAAATTTTTGCAAGGACGCTTCTGAAGTGTATTGGCACTCATTATTTGATCTGATATATCATATTTTTTTACCAGTCCGAGTCTCGATTCACTTCTTTCATGTTATGAAAATCTCCAACGTTTCGCTTTTGCATTTCATGGTGTACACTCAAACATACTTAGTGTAGTCATCAATAAGAAGACAAAGTATCTTTGCCTGTTGATTGATGTTGTTTTCATCGGGCCTTAAACATCTGTGAACATTCTCTAAAATACATTTTATACTATGGATGACAGACCCAAAAGATACTCAAGTATTCTTGACAAAAATACATCCACACTTTTGATCAACCCTTTCTTCACTAAAGCCTGAAGTAAAGTCTCTCAAGCATGAGCTAGCAGCAAATGTCACAATAAAGTGGCATCAGCAGAATTATCAGCAACAACAACTACTCTAATCACTGTATTACCCTGAAGATAGTGACGATTGTGATAGTAGCGAACTCCCTTCATAAAAATTATTGATCTATGACATATCCTCAGAATTTATGCCTTAATAAATATTTTGTAGCATTTGGACTCTAAAGCCCCAAATGATAACAAATTCTTCATGATATCCGAAACATGTTTAATAAATATTTTGATATCCGAAACATGTTTAATATCGATCAGCTCTCTCACAGTACAATCATGCATCCCGATAAAGATACTTCCTACACCAATAGCATGACAAGTTTGATCATTGGCCATGCTCACATCATAGCTATCCAGCTCCTTGTACGTACATAAACATCCTGGATAAAGACAAATATGATAGATAACATCTATATGCAGAATCCATCACTAATCATCTGTAAATAAACTATGAGAAAATGCAGATAATGGAACATTTAAATTCGCTTCTTGATACACCAAAATAATATGTTGTTTTAAGTATACATTTAAATGCTTATTTTTTGTTTTAAGTATACATTTAATGCTTATTTTTTGTGATATTACACTTTAAAGAAGGGTATTTTCAGGTTTTTATTGTAGGTCAATTTTAGGCATTTAGAGCAAAAATAGAAAAAAAGATGAACCTGAAGCGCCACTTTACTGAGAGCTGACGCCTGAAGTGTCATTTTACAGAGAGTTGGCATTTTGCACTTGAAGCATCAAAACCCAGAACAACGCGGTCTTAAGCAACTTGGCGCCTGAAGCACCAAAACCAGCGTCTGAGGCGCTAGAGACGACTTTTTATGAATTAAGGTGGTTCAAGACGAATTTTGCGCGAATTTCGAACGGTCTACTTTTTCTAAATGCCCCATGAAGTGATTCAATGCATCTAGACAATTTCGAAGATTCTTTTATGAAAGGATGTGTCTCGTGGATCAATAGACATATCTTTTGGAATTCAAAAGTGTTGACTTTTGGAGAGAATTTTGGATGGAATTTTTAATTCTTTTTGGAGGGAGGCAACCTCTAATAAAAGAGAGGGAAGTCTAGGGCATGAGTGTGACATGAAGGGCGGTTCGAAAGAGGCGTGAAGGGGGGATCGAAAGAGGCAATTGAGGCGTGAGAGAGAGAAAGTCAATAGCTTGGAGATTTCCTTCTATGCATGTAAAAGGACAGGGAATGTGAGAGATTTCATCTTCATTACACTTATAAGAGAGAATTGAGAGTGCTTGCAAAGAGGGAAAGTGCTAAGAGAGAACCTCTAAGGATTTGCTTGGGAATGATTGTGAGATAAGTTGTGTCTTTTAATTCTTTATTTTTGTAAACTTATTTTTATATATGAAATCTGTGTTTTGTTCTTTCCTTCTCATGAGTTTTGAGTAGTCTTCTTTATCCTTTTCCATACAATGAGATTTGGTTTTGTGAAGAATTAATTTTATTTTATACAATTTTAAATGTCAATATTTTTTTATGATTCAAACTCTGATTTTCATTTACTTTTCGATCTGACCAATTGAAATGTTAATATGTGTTGAGAAACATATGATCCAAAAGGGCTATGATTTCTACAATATAGTGAGAATCACATTCGATTCCATGAGAGAGAATGTCATCCATGGGATTGAATGCAAATAAATGGAGAAATATACTTTGTTGGATGCATAATTGGAGATTTTAAGGCGACAAATTAAAATCCCCAATTTGATTTAGTTGATTGGAAATTTAGTTGATTGGAAACTAATGGAAACTAATGCGAGAATGTTAGCCCTCATGTGAGGAAGTAGTGGGAGTTCTGGAGTGGCAGACGGTATCCTCCCAACCTAACCACAGAATTATGGACCAAACTCTGGATTAGTCAATGTTCTTTATGCACTTGAAAGAGCGTAAAAAATATGATTGCTCATATTTGACACAAAATAATTTTTATATATTTTTAAATGATTTTAATTTTTTCACAATTCATATACTCATTGTAAAGAGAAAGTATGCTTTCTTAAATTTGAACTCTTCATCACAAAAACTTTTTTTGGATTTCATAAATTTGCTTTTGAAAGTTTAGCAATTAGTTTAATTAGCTTAGTTCCTTTTATTTGCATTTTATTTAGCACACACTTAATTACTTTAGATTAAAATTTTGCAATTCAGTTTTGTAGTTTGAATTATGTTTTACGTTATAGTCATTAGAATTTATCTATAAGCATTTCCAACTTCCATGTGAGATCAATATTTAAGACTTCATTATAGCCCTTTATTACTTGAGCGATACATATACTTGCGTTATTATTAGGGGATTTGAAAGTTTAAATATTCTTAAAAGATAAAATTATTTTTATTAAGGTTATTTTTGTTGGGTTTACATTGCGTATTTATTTTTATAACTGTCGTGTGTATTTTGTAATATTGAAAAATATTTGCAAAAATAACACAAAAAAATCTGTCGCATCACTTCTTAACAACTTTCACAATGAAGTTGGCTTTCACCTCAGATGTAACTTTGTTTTCATTCTCCTTTAACTTTAAACATTCTTTCTTCCAATGACTAGTCCGTAAATAGAAAACACACTTATTTTCCCCAACACTGTGCCCGCGAGACTTGCCCTTTTTTGAGAAGTGTAGCTGCTACCACATTTATTTGATCAATTCTTTTTCTTCTTTTCAGATCTGCCACGTTGAAGTTGTCTCAGCTGATTTCATCCTCACAGACTCCTTGTCCTTTTAATGAAACTCGTGATTCAACAACTTCTTAGTCACTCCGCCATAAGTTAAGATCTCTTTCCCATAAATGAGTGTCATAGTGTTGTTTTCATACTCATCCGAGTGAGAATTCAATAAAAGAAGCACCTTGTCTTCATATCCAACATCCTCATCCAAATTTAATGGATATGACAACCACTTGGTAAAGTTATTCAAGTGATCATCAATAGTAACCTTCATTTCATCTGAAATATGTAGAGTCGAGGCTTAAGATGTAGACGATTTTTCATACTCTTCGTGAAATATTTGTTCTAGATTATCCTCCATAATTTCCTTACTAAAGTCTTCATCATCACCTCATATTTGAATTCTTTGGTCAAGCAATCTTGGATTAAGCCACTAACACTCACATTCATCTTCAAACAATCTCTCTTTGATATCTCTATATGACATTTCTCACTATCCAAAACTTCCTCCAAATTCAGAGAACAAATCACGTCCATCATCTCGTATCACAATATGTTAAAGTTCTCTTTGCCGTCAAATTTTATCACATTAATTTTGACAGGATGCGTAACTACCTGATGAATCGTCTTTTCCACTGTCATAGCGGACGTTGAAGAAACTAAGAACATGTTATGGTTTATTGTTTATATTGTTAAAATTTCTTTTGATAAAAAAGAAAAATACATAAAATTTGAGAAAATAAAAAATCCCTTTTTTCTTCTCTGAAATTCCATTTTTTTTATTTTTTATTTTTCTTTTTTTCCTTCGCCTTTTCTTTTATCTTTTTTCCCAGAAATTCCTTTAATTGAGATTTAAAAAAAAAAAAAAAATTTGAAAAGCCTCCTTTCCCGTGCCTTCACAGAAAAACAAAAACTTTCATTCTCTAAAAAATTTCCTTCCCTGTATACCGCGAAAATCAGGGAAAATCCTTTCTTTCTTTAACTGCAGCAGATAATTCAATGAGCGAGTTGTTTTTTTTTACCTGGGAAGCTGAGCCTGCAGTAACGCCCAGCTGCAGTCCTCCAGCTCCAAGCTTCTCCCCGCCGGACGAAGTCTCGTGCCTCTGCCGTCGAGACAAAGTCCATCGACAAATCGCCGAATTTTGTCAGCAGAGCACATCGGACCACATGCTACAAAAATTACGGACAAAACAAGTCGAGTTGCTGCCATTGACGTCAAAGCTTGCACCGTGATGAACTCGATGATTTGATATCAATTGATATCCAAAATATTATGAAAACATAGGAATTCACACAATAATAATTAAACATAAAAGATTTAGTTAAATCGATTCGCCTATGTTCACGAGGAACGAAATTACATCACGTTTGCAGGAAGGGAGATTCTACTGTTGAAGCAATATGATCGAAGCCGAAGGGAGATGTAGGCATACAACAGTTGGAGTTCACCATGGACTCTGATATGCTGAAGGTTGTAAATTGGAATTGAGTGGTGAAAGAAGCAGCAATTAATAGATTTTATATAAATTCCAACAAAAAAATTTAAACCCACAAATATCGATTTCTAGCCCGAATGAAAAATGATGAGATAATTTTTGAAAAAGCCAACTTGTGACTAATAGTAAATTAGATCCAGGGGAAGATGGAGAGTCACTCACATTAACCTTAAATTTTGATTAGACTCATTAATTTTATATAAAAAAAATTTAAAAAATTGAAACTCTAATATAAAACACTTCATAATAAATTACTATTAATTATAATTTTAATTTAAAAAGCACAAATATAATAGTTTTAAGAAAAATATAAGAAAATTAAAATTTTAGAGTTAAATATTCATAAAATTTTAATCTTTAATTTTGCCATTCCTTCACTCATCTTGTGTTTTTTTCAGTCAAATCATAAAAGAAAAAATAATGAATTATTAATGTCGAGTTTATAATATTATTAATTCTCTATAACAATATTTCCCCCAAGCCTTAGTATATTTCTCAGTATTCCTCTTTGCATAACACTCTTTACTATAAACTCTTCTTAAAAGTTAAATACACGAAGAAATAGAAATTTGTAGAGGAATAGATTAAGCCCTTGAGTTCTTCAACGAAAAAATATTACGTAAGAACGGTGTGAATTATGAAAAAATATTGTGTTTGAAGTCTGGGCGAAGTGGGAACTCAGACCTCCAATAAATCACGTCCGTTGTCCAGGTGCAGCTCACGTACAGACTCTGTGCGCAATTATTTTCTCATGAATTATATCAGCTGATATTCAATCGCTTTTGAAATATCTATAAGAGCAATCACGAATTATATATGTTACTTAGACATGCAACTTTATTTAATACAATCATTCATGACGCGACACACACAACGAAATCAACATAGGCAGGCAAAGGTAATCGCCGACTAAAATTTATTCAAAATACATTAACTGCACTTCTTTCAGCATCTCCCTCAACACTACCCTTCAAGCACGTTGTCGATCTCCACCACCTTCTCCTTCGCCACAGCAAACGGAGCCGCCTTGTCGTCAACACTATCAGCGCTGGGAACTTCAGTACCGGTTGACCAAATAGCGTCGTGGAAAAAGTCGTAGATGACAACGTTGCGATCTGTTTGAAGAATGAGATAGTAAATCCCGACAAACCCACTGCTGTTGCTTTGCCAGATAACTCTGACGCCGCTATAAATGATGAGATTACCATTGATCTGCAGCCTCAGAACGCAGCCGGAGGCCCTCCCACTTGTCTCCGTCGACCATACGGCCCTGTTTTTATCGTAGAGGACGAGGTTGCAATCTTGCTGCATGATGAAGGAGTAGTTGCCTTGTGTGAGTGATTGTCCTGGATTAAGCGATTGGCCTGCGTACAAGGTGCTGGCGGCTGAGGCCGGAGTGGTTGGGAGGATTGATAAAACTGCCAAGGAAAGGAGGAAGATGGAGGGAAAGGTGATGAAGAAGGTCATGGCTATATGGGTTAAAGGGGAGTTTTGGATGTGCTATTCTTGGTTGGTGCATATGGGAGTGAATCTCCATACTTATAATAGCTGCCTTGGTAGGTCAAGAGAAAATATTAGGTGCATGTATTGTATCTACAGACAACGAATAAAATGAGAGTAGGGGTGTAAACGAGTGTTCGGCTCGTTTATATTTGGAGCTCAAAAAGTGTGTTCGTGTTCGACTCGTTTGCTTAGCGAGCCGAAAACGAGCCGCTCATGAATAAAGTGTTATTTTGACAACCCTAATCATTTAGCCATAAAATGTTAAGGATTATGGTAAAATTTAAAACATCATTTGAATCTAATTTAATAATTTTTATTATATTTTCTTTATTAATATTTTTAATTGATTATAAATCTTTGTAGCCTTGTAGTCAATTAAATTTTTTAAAAAATACTACTTATCAAAGATATATATATAATTGATTGGCATTATTTCGAGCTAAAACGAGCCGAACACGAACCAACAAATATTTATTTGTGTTGTTTGTGTTCGGCTCGTTAACTTAGCGCATGAGCCGAACACGAGCTTCTTAACAAGCCGAACACGAGCTGTTCACGAACAACGAGCCGTTTTGACAGCCTTACATGAGAGCTAGTGAGTATATTATTTATTATATGTAGGTTCATTACACTCATATAATATTTTCTCAATACAAGAGTCTAATTCCTTTTAATGGGAACAAGAGATTTATTTATTTATTTATTTTATTATGATATAAGTAAGTCTAGAAATATTTTTTTTTTTTTGATAGGAGACATAGGAAAATTGGCATAAATAATATATGTTCAATCACCATGTAAAAATTTAATTTTTGAATTTTGTAATCATTATAATTTAAGTATCGGGTATGATTTATAAACTGATAGTAATATTAAGTTTTTTTATTAAATTTAAAAAATGTAGAGAGGGAAAAAAGAGATGTCATATTGCAAATACTGACAAATTTAAACTGTTGGATTTATAGTAAGAAAGAATTTCTTGCAAGTAAATAAAGAGAAAAGAGAAAAGGAAAGTGAATAATCTAAACTAACAGCTGATGTAATATCAATATTAAGTAGTTGATAATTTATTTTGTCATTTTGTTTGAAAAGTGAAAATTTAAACATTTATAATGGCTACTAAGAAAAATAGGAACACATACTTTGTCGATTTTAATAACATATATATATATATATATAATTTTGAAAGTCTAAAACACTATCCCTGATGAAAATGTTTGGTAAGAAAATGCACTGTTTTTATAAATTTTGTTATCTTAGACAATAAATAGAGATTTCAAATATCTTCCCAAGTAATATTTTTTATGAATTCTCTTTGCTCTTTTTAATCCTCCCTAGCTTTTTGTATTGCTTCCTACGATAAATCACCACTGGTAAACACGAGAACAACTATAAAATATTACTTATGAAGTAAAAAAGAAAATTAATAAAATAATTTAAATTTATCATATGATAGACGACGATGACAACAACAACAACAATAGCAACAACAAGTCTTTATTCTACTAAATGGGACTGTCTACATGAATCCTATTTTTCCCACTTCCTCCTATTGAGTGTCATATTTTCATTTAATTTTAATAAATTAAGATCATTTTTTATATAATATGCTCAAATCTTCCTCGGTCTACCTCTGCACATAATTCAAATCTAAAACATCAATTCTCTTAACCGAATCATGAGACAGTCGATGTTTAATATGACCAAACCATCTAAGACGACTCTATCTAATTTTGTCCGTTACTGGAGCTACACCAACCCTATTACAGATTTATTCATTTCACATATTGTCTCTAAGTGTCAAGCCACTCATCCACCTAAACATTCTCATCTCGTCAACACTTAACTTTCTTTTATGCTTCTCTTTTGAAGACCAATATTCTGCGTCATAGAGCATTGTGGGTCCCACCAACATCTTTAAAATTTTCCTTCCAATCTAAGCGATACTTTTCTATCACACAATAGGCCTAAAGCATTCCTCCACTTCAACCAACCAACTTGAATTCTACTAATAACATCAACATCTATATTACAATCATTTTTAACAATAGACCTGCGATATCTAAAGTGTTCACACCTTTTAATGATTTCATCAACCATAGTTACAATTCTACCACTAGAGTTACTACTACTAAAATTACATTCCATGTATCCAGTTTTAGTTCTACTCAAATAAAGGCCTTTTAACTTCAATGTAGACCTCCATAATTCAAGTTTTTCTTGAACTATTTCTCTAGTCTTGTCCACAAAAGGATATAATCTACGAAAAGCATACACCAAGTTGCATCCTCTTATAAATGTTCAGTAAAAGCATCCATAACTAAAGCAAAAAGGGTATGGGCTGAAAGCAGATCCCTGATGAAATCCAACTGAAATAAGAAAAAATTTGGTCAATCCTCATTTTGCTCAAACACAAGTAACAACTCTAGCATAAATATCTTCATTGACTTGAATATAAGTCATATCACCACCTTTCTTCTCTAGAGCTTTCCAAAGGATTTTTGTTGGAACCTTATCGTAAGCTTTTTCTTAATAAATAAAAATCATATGTAGATTCTTTTTATTCTCTACATATTTCTCCATCAAACCTCTCAATAAATGTAAAACTTCCATAGTAGTCCCGCCTGACATAAATCCAAACTGATAATGAGAAATTTTTATAACACGTCTTAACCTATGTTCAATTACCCTCTCCCATAATTTTAAAGTATGTCACATCAACTTGATTCTTCTATAATTGGCACAGTCTCATGCATCTCCTTTATTCTTAAAAATGGGGACCAAAGTACTTATCTTTCGCTCCTCATGCATCTTTTTAGTTTTTAAAATAATATTAATGAGTTTAGTAAGCCAAGGAACTCTCAAATCTTCTAGTTATTTTTACATTTCAATTAAGGTGTCATTCAATTCTAATGATTTTCTACCATTGGTTTTCTTTAAAGTCACTTTGATTTCTCTTTTTACAAATGAGACGGTAAAAATAAAATATTTTATTATTATTAATGATATTAAGATCACTAAGATTGATCAGATTTTCAGAACTTTCATTGAAAAGTTTATCAAAATAGCTCTCACACCTATGTTGAATTTCTTTTTCTAAGAAAGACACTTTTTGATTTTTATCTTTAATACGTTTTACTTGACTCAAATCTTTACTTCTATTTTTAATTATTTGGTTGGTTTATACATATATTTTTCACTCTCTTTAGTATCTAATCTATTATAAATATCACTAAAAGTAGATTTTTTAGCGTAACAAATTGCTAGACTCACATGACCACCTTATTGTTTTCCTGTTCTCTAAGCTTTTAGATTTAAATCAACTTTTATAACACAAGTTCTTAGATTTTATCTTTCCTTGCACATTATTATTCCATCACCAACTATTTTTGTTTACATTAAATTTTCATTTCTGATTCTCCATGCACATCTTTTGTCACTTATTTAATAGTGCTTATTAATTTATTGCACATAGAATTTGTTTCTTCTTGAACAACCAAAATCTTGTAATCTTGAAGTTTACTCATAAAATTAAGTCAGGTGACCACATTAATTCTATGACAATGATTCCTAATATTCATTATCTTACAACTTTTCATCTTAAAATCTAGAACTAATAATTGATATTGAGTATTTAAATACATACCTTGAATTACCTTACAATCTTTATGTTCTTGGCGATCTCTTATTCTCATAAGAAAATAATCAATTTGTGTTTTATTGGATCCATTCTTATTAGTAATAATATAATTATCTCTTTTCTTAAACAAAGTATTGATAATAACAAAAATATACACTAAAGAAAAATACAAAATGAATCTACCATCTTCATTAATTACTCCAAAACCATAGCTATCATGAATATTTCTAAAATATTTTACCACTTTACCAACATGCACATTTAAATCTTCTCAATTTCATGTGATTATTTTTTAACAAATACTACGCTGGTTATCGACTACCTAACATAACCCTTCACTTTTCAGATTGGGGGCTTGGGACCCGGTAACGACAATGTTATATATACAAAAATTCTGAGGCATGTTCTTCTCCTAAAATTTTGGTAAATAAATTGAAATAGTGCTGTAATTATTCTAAGTATATAAGTGTTTTCTCCATCGTTTGCTGCATTTTAGCCATTGTTACCATAAACAGCTTTATGCATAAAACATATATATTCTTGTCCATTCTCTACTAACCATTGAATAGTAAAAAAACCAACTGCATGGAGAAATAAAAATGAGATGGGCTTGAAGAAGGGGCCATGGCTAAGGAAGACAGTAAGCCTTCTCAACGAAATAATATTTTCCCAGAAATATCAGTTAACCTTATACTTCTAAAGAGCCAAGACACAGTTATATAATTGACATTTTTTTTATAATCAAACAAAAGTTGTAATTGATCCACATATCTAAGCCTATGAATGAGTTGTTCGAGCTTGTTGTAATCTAGAATGATTAAACACGACCACATTATATCTGAAAGTGTTCTGAGCGTCGCCGAGGCATCAAAATGACCTCTAATTTTTAAAACAATTGTGCGAGTGCCACCGGGCCGTCCGGACGGTTCAAACAAGTATATTCACAACTTAATCAGGCTTTATTTCATGGACGTCGAGAAATTTAATATGCATCACTCATGGAATATTTTATATACTATATATAAAAAACATATTTTTATAGATTATTTTTAGTATTTTTTTATCTATTTACAAATATATGTTAATCAATATGCTTCTGTTTATTAATATGTTAAAAGATATGAAACATCTAATTTCAATATTATACTACATTATTTGATTTTAGTTTGGTTAATTTGTAAAATGAATCTATGAGTTAGGAAAGTGTTAGGTATTGCTCACATTCCATAAATGGAACAAATGCTGGAGCGGGGCATAGCCCACTGTCGGCACTATTTTTGGTGTGGGGTTTGCCCGTAAGAAATTGTCGGTCATCGGAATTGAA